CTCCCTTCCTCCCCTCCGCCGAGCTCACCCTCCTTGGCTTTCTTCTTCCTGGCCAGGGTCCCGCCGAGCTTGCCCAGGAACGACTCCTCTTTCTTCATCCTGTGCGGCCGCAGGGTCGGGGATCGCAGGGGCTGTGCGGACATGGGGCTGTGCCTGGGGCTCTGCGGGGAGCCCACCCTGCCCTGCCCGTCCCGCCGGGGGCTGCGGGAGCCCAGCACAGCCCGGAGCGGGGGGATCGCCGAGCGGCAGAGGCGGCGGAGAGAGAGCCGGAGCTGGGGGCGGACCGGGAGCGCTGCCGGCGGCCACAGCGCCCTGCCACGGCCGGGAAGTGCGAGGGAGGCACTTCCACACAGGGACACCCCCTCCTTGAGGGGCCGGGGGCGGGGAAATGCCCGAGCAAACCCCGCCGAGAACCGACACCCGGCTGCAGCATCACCTGGAGCATCTCCTGGAGCATCTCCTGAAGCATCTCCTGGAGCATCACCCTCCTGCGGGTGCACCGCCACAACCGCAGCGACCGCGCGGAGAGAAACTGCGTCCAACAAACAAACAAACAAACAAACATCGCAGAAAAAGTAAAGCCTCGGGTCCCGTCACAGCCAAACCGGAGTGTTTTCAGTCTTGAAAGTGAGACCAGAACATCAAAGGACATCCTTTCTTAAGAAAGTTTTTGGGCGTTTTACGTTTTGCAACAGTTGGACACAGGTGAGGGCAAGCACCCAGCATGTGCCGTGTGTCGGGGCACACTGTGGCAGGTCGTCGCTGGCTGCACTCAGATTTGCCTCCTAGTTCTCCAGCCATGTGCTCCTTCCGTGGGACTAGCCTGCCTCCTCCTCCTGGCATGTTGCCGGGCAGGTTTGGCATCTCCTTTGTGGAAAGGTTGAGGACCAGGGGGGCGTGGGCTCCGTGTTTGCCAAGCTCACAGGTACTGAGGTCACAGGGGGATTGTCGCCACCTCCCATCCTGCCACCAGCATGGCGTGCGCACAGAAACAGCCAAAAACAGAAACTTGGGCTTCATCCTACAGAGAGAATTTATTACTTATCATTTGACAGCACCCGGGAACACGGTAAGGGTTTTGTGGAATACACATTAGAAAACAGCTCCTAAAGAGTTTATACCATTAGGCTCTGAGCCTGTGAAACCTGAAGTTTAAACCCCTGAAGTGGTCCCACTGATTTTAATGAGGCTCCTGGGTCCCTAAAGCCAGGCACAACCTTTGGCCGTGCTCCCACAAGCAGCTCCCCCGTCAGCAGCCCTCATCCCAACAAAGAGCCGCTTTCAAACCAGCACAGCCTGGCTCAGGATCTGCACACCCAGCTCACAGGACACATTTTCACGCTTGACCTGACACAGAAGTAACACTCCAGGACGCATCCTGAGCAGAAGAGGGCAGAGACACTGTTCTGAGAGTGTAGTTTCACAAGATTTAACCTGAGCTCATCCCCTCTGTCACCGAGGCCTGCCCTTGTCTCTCGCCTTCAGCTGCTCGTTGCTTTTCTGCAGTCACTTTGGCAGCTAATAAAAAAACCCAACCCCAAAAAAACAAACCCCAAATCAGGCAGCCCAAGCTTTCCAGTGTGACTAAGCCCAAAGTCACCCAAAGGCACGTGACAGCAGGAGGGAAGTGGAGGGCACACATGACTAGGGCTGGAAAGATCCTTCCAAATGGCTTCTGTGAGCCTCTTTTCCCTGTTGAAAGCAATATTTAACACGACAGCTAAAGAAAGGTTTGAGAAAACACTGCTTGCTCACCTGTTTTTCGAGTTGGTTTCCCTTCTGCATTTGAACCATAGGTTTGGTTACAGAGTCCATTTCTGCAATGTTTTGCAAATCAACAGGAGAATGGCAGATAAACTGGGGGGCAATGACAGGTTTGGAGTAGGACTCGCAGCTACTTTAAATATTTGCCTTTAGAGCTGAAGTTTATAAACATTCCTCCGGCAAAAGTAACCAAGAACCAGGAGGTGCTTTCTACACCTCCCAAGTCCTGCACTGCAAGGAGCTTGGACCAGGGTTTCCTCACCAGATTAGTGAGCAGAATTTCCACATCCATAACTTCCTCCGTCCCCATACCACCATTACATTATGTGTTACCACATCATTTAAATATCTCACAAAGGAATGTATATAATGTGGATTTTAACATAACCTGCTGCACATTTCCCTCCTTCCAGAGGGTCCAGCCCCCAGACCAGGTTGGACCGGAATAAAAATAACCACTCTGTCAGGTTCAAGAGCTGCACAAGCAGAAGATGATGCCAGAAATCTTTGAGGCCTCATGTGATAAATTGGTGTCCAGATAGATATTTCATGTATTTGCAGTCTAGTATTTTTTTTTTTTAAGCCTAATTCCTTGCTCTAGGCACTCATCAATAAGGTATCCTAAAACTTACACAAAAACCATTTTCTCGTTCCTTACCAAAGTTTATTTTTCCTGCTTTCAGAAACCAATTTCAATAAGTGGAAATCCTGCTTCAGACACTGGTTATAACCTCAACTTCTCTTCCTGTTTCCCTGGCAAGTCCCAAACCCGCCAATGGCTTTTGATTCTGAGCCGGTTTTACTGCAGGATACAAGGAAGCATCCTGTGATCAGCACTGGAGGAGGGATTTTATAAGGGTCTGCCTGCACTGAGAGTTTAATGCAGAGCTGCTGCAGTGGCAGTGACCACATAGTCCTATTCCACAGTTCTTGCAGTACCAGGCACTGGGATCTCCTCCTCAGGTACTCATCTCCTCCTAAACCAGCTCTAATTTTCTTTAATTGTTACTGCTGCATGTCTTGCTTTGCCCCAGAAATGTTTGCCTTAACTCACAGATAACACTGCCTTTAAAAGGCTGTGAACTCTTTGCTATGCTGATTTTGGAATGCATGGAAATCCTAAGATTTACAACAGAGCAGTTTGTTCTTCGACAGAACCTACTGCCCCAGCTTTAGCCAAACAGGTTCCTCCCTGCAAATACTTATCTTTACACCTCCCAGCGAGATAACCCTGTCCAGTGTTTGCCCATACAGGCAACGATGATGACAATTTTTTTTTATTGATATTGCTTCTTTGGAAGAAAAAATAAACTGCATTTCCTGAAACAGCAGCGTGTTGCCCACAGCAAAGGCTTCCAGGCTGTGAGAACTTAACAAGGCTGGGATCAGTACAAGCTACAAAACCACCTCTCAAATGATTCTGAGGTTTCAGGCCATACCTAATGAATGTTTTACCTTGATTTCCTGTGCAGGGCAGGGGGAGTTCTTCCCTGTGCTCTTGCTGATGGAAAAAGTGGATTTTGGAGGAATGTTCTCAAAATCTTCAGAGACTGGAACTTAAGACCTACGAGAGCTGTGTGTACAATACAAATACCAATGGTAAAATCAGCTCCCACGCAGCAAACTCCCACCCCAGACACAGCCCAGGCACATCCAGAGGGAAAAACAGTCCCTGCGCTTCCTTCCATGCCACAAGTTAACACTGCAGGCAACACCTGAGGGAAATGGGGGGGGGCAGAAAAGGGGAGACTAAAAAAAAAAAGAAAAAGTAGCCTTAATTAAGCTGAAGAAGTACACAGAAAGACATTAATTGGTGAAATTGCCCGTTTCATTTAAGGTTATTATACATCTCTGCGGAATTAAATCATTAGCAAGGATGTCCACTGCATTCTGCTGGCATAAGACACACCACACACTTTGCACTGAGAGTGAAGATTGTACTTGTATGAAAAATAACCTGGATTCATATGAAAAACACACATAAATGTTGATCTGCAACAGGACTAGCAGAGTGGATATTTTCATTTCATAAAATGAAGGGTTAGATATATTTGGCTTTAAGGCAGTGTGGAAAAAAACATTTTATCCAATCTCTCAGGGGGAGAAAAACCCATAAAAATCAATCAGTTCTCATACCTGATTTTTTTAATGAGGTTGCAATCAGAAAATGTGTGAGTACAAACTCGGAGCAAGAAAGCGAACAAACTGGTGAACAATTTGTACACACAATCCAAACAGCACATAAAACTTCACTGACTCCAGTACGACACTCAGGATGTACCCACTTATAAGCAAGTATCTTTTAATAATTGAAATAAAACCACACAGATAGAACATCAAAGTCAGAGTGAATGGACCTATCTGTTTATAAAGAAATGCTTCAGTTTGTAGCTAAGTAGTAAAAGTATTTCAGCCCATTGCAAAGAAAAAGGAGGCTGGGTTGTTTTAGGCCAGGAGACAGAGCGAGCCCCTGGCAACAGAAAGTCAAATTACACTTCAAACCCACCAAAACAAGACTGGGAGCCTTTCTGAGGGTGGTTCAAACAAACAGGGCTCTTCCAAGTAGGAAATGAAGAGCTTTTATCACTGCTGTGATCAAGTGTGTGTCAGTCCCTAGTGATTCAACTGGCTAATGGCCATGAGCAGCCACAGCTGCTGCTGCCCGTCAGTGGCCTCCAGTTCAGAAGCTCAGCTCCATTATTTGTGTAAACCCTCCATCCTGAATGAGATACCAGCCCTCTACACCCAGAAAATTCCCTCTGGTACACTCCCTCTCATCAGGGATGAGATTCCTATATATTCCTACAGGAATATATTCAATATTCCTATGTGGAGTGTATACTCATTAAGAAAA